TCCATTGTAAGATCACACTGCAAAAAATCTGAATCTCGATAAGTCATTTGTTCTTAAAATAAGTGCATTTGTTCTTGAATTGAGGAGGTAAAATAGACCTTTTGCCAATGGAACAGGTCAATTTACACTTAAAATAAGAAAACACATTTGCATTGTCTTATTTCAAGTGCATATTATCTAATTATCTTATTTTAAGAGTAAAAATACTCATTCCATTGGCAAACTATCTCATTTACCTGCTCAAATTAAGGGTGAATACACTTAATTTAAGAAATTTTTTACTTATTTCTAGATCGTTTTTGCAGTGCAGTAAAACTCAACTTTATTTCGATCTTACCTAGTCATAAATTGTTTCCTTTACAAACTCTCTTGACCGATGTGCAGAGAGGAACAGGTTAAAGCCTCAACTTGGCAGGTTTAAAAATCACAGAGTCTGAGTAGATTACACTGGAGATTTCTGACAATATTGTAGAGACATGGGCGGTGTTGGTGCATGTACTGTTTCTCATACATGCAGATTTAAATGCAATAAAAAGCAGTTAAATTCTGTCTTATCTCCAGCAGTAGCAATACCCCTGTGCCTTAAGGTGTATGGCAGTAATTATATTTAGAAATTGCGGAAAACAAAGAGAAAATAGAAAATGTGTTTCTCGATAAGTTATTGGTATGAAATTCTTTTTATTTGCAAAGAATTGCTTTTAACCTAAGAAATTCAACTAGTAAGTGTTAATGAGAAATTGTTTTTTGCAAAAGCCAAACAAGATTTGCCAATTAAGTGCAAATTAAGCTATATCCTCTTACACTTAAATTCAGATGTCATCAGCAAAAGTGTGTTTTGAAAGCTAATGCCATCTGGGTTTACCTACAAACCTAAATATTTATATGGCAGAGTGAATTCCTCTTTCTCTACTTCATGCATACTTGACAAAAATAAGCAATGAATAACACAATCAAACAAGGATTTTAAAGTAGCAGATTTCACTAAACTCAAGCATTCCTTTGATTTTCTACAGGCTGTCAAGGATGCAGCACAGCCAGCTTTTGAAGTAGAAGTACAGCCAGTTGTAGAAGTACAGGTAATTTTAGAGGTGTTTGTTTGTACATTAGAGTAAGTGCATTATTTCTAGTGTAATAAGCATTTAAAGGAATAGTACACCCAAAACATGATTAGCCTTCATTTTCTACTCACC